TTTATTCACTTTTAGAGAGAGGGAAGGAGGGAGAAACATCAATGAGTGAGAACACGTGGCCCCAGATGGAGACCTGGCCCACAACCCAGGCATGTGCCCTGACTAGGAACTGAACCAGCAAGACCTTTAGGCTCTCAGGCCGGCACTCAGTCCACTGAGCCACACCAGCCAGGGCATCAATACGGTATTTTTGCAAAAGTGTCCTCTTTGTGGTAGCACTGTGGTAACTAAATATTAACAGGAAGGATTTATTTTACTATAAGACAATCTACCTGAGATTTATTCTTTGTTCTCAAAATTTCCACAAGATTGCAGGTATAACCTAAATTTTGTTCAATATTTACTATTGCTTTAAAATAGGCATTTTGATTTTTTGTTTATTGGATAAAGTTCTGAACTAAATTGTGTTTACTCTTAACTATGAAAATTTGCATGTGACTTGTTCTGTTGCTAATTTTCCTGGGTTACAGAGATCTCCTGAAAGGAGGTTCTTTTCAAAAAGAAGGTGGGGGCCCGTTCACAAAGGGCCCTGAAGAAATCTTGTCCTGAGAGAAACCTGCTGGCAGTTTATAACAGGGCTCCTTTTTGTCTAACACCAACTGTGTTCCTGCAATTAGAAAGTACTGCAGGCCTATTTCATCTCCTTTAGAAATGACAAGACTGAGGGGGAGCCGCATGTTGGGCGCCCGATGATGGAGGGGTCCCTGGTCAGGTGCCAGATAAGGGGGGTTACTGCGTCCACGCACAGTCCCCCGAGATCACCATGGATGGAGAAAAATAAAATAAGTCTTTCCAGACACTTCTCTCTCCCTCTGCCAGGAAAAGGGAGTGGTGATCCCCTCTGGGGGAGAATGCCCTAGCCCTTCTCTTAAAGTGGCTTCTATTGAGAACTTTATATGGGGGGAGCGGAGAGGGGGGAGGGTGGTATACAGCATGGATGCAAAGCTCATCAATGTCAAAAGGCTATGTTTACAGAAAACAGGTAGAGATCATAGGTAACAATTGAAGGGACACAGAGATTTGCCTCAAGTCAGGGTCTGGTAGACAGGGTGATGCCCATTCAGCCCTGAAACCTGGGAAACTGATCACATCCTATGCTCCACCCCAAACATCAGTACTCATTAACTCCAGGGCATTCTGAGCAAAGTAAGTTTTATAGGATATAATGGATTCCTTTTCCAAGCCTAATTGTCCCCAGGAACCACCTGATCCAATTTAGGGCTGTACCTGCCTTTAGTATTGTTTCAAGCCTGAGCCAGGAGGGTGGAGCAGAGCAGCCAAGAGATGAGCCTTCTTTCAGATGGAATGAGGACTCTGGCCATGACAAAGCTGAGGGGTGAGGGTCTTTTGCTCCTTCTCCATGTCCCCCAAGTCCTTCCGTGATGGTCCCTATGTTACTGTGCCTGTCTTGGGTTGCCCCTGCCATCGAGGGGTCTTACCCATCATTGACTAAGCAGCCATCCTCCAGGGCCAAGCAGGGTGATGTGAGGGAGGCCGGGGCTGCGCCCCTGCCAGGGGGACAGGTTTTGTCTTCTCGGTGGCCTCTTTTCCCAAGGCCTCCTTGCTCAGCTCCAGCCTTGGGGCCTTCTCGCCTGTCAGCGAAGCTACGGTCCCTAAATCTGGGCAGGATGGTTCCCAACACAAAACCCTTTTGATCCTTGCTTTTCCGTTTACTTAGGAGAGCAGATTTGGGCATGGGGAGAATGTTTTTGGATGCCAAGGTTCTATTTTAGGCCCACTGCTGTTGCACACTCATGTGGAGGGCTATTTTAACTCCTTTCAGCCATGTGGAAAATTCTCACTTACGTGGTGCTCTTTCTAGCACTTTACCTTTGAGAGGTGACCTTCACTGATGAAGTACATACATTTATTCATACTGATTCATTTACTAAAAGCTTGTTCTAGGCTCCCTGAAAGCCTGAAGACTTTGGGATCCTTGGAGGTAAAAGGTCAAGTGCTTTTTGACTTCTCTTTTCTCCAGCAAGAGACAGGCTGGTATTTCTTGCAGGGTTTTCTTGGGTTTAGATGTGATTTCAAGCAAGTAGTTATTTCAGATGATCACTATAGCCCATGTCGTGAATGCAGAGGCTGATGTTTTGAAGGTGCTGGGCTAGGGCATGGCAGGGCAGGTGTTGCCAGTACAATTCTTTAAAAAAAAATTATTGACTTTTTAGAGAGAGGAGAAGAGAGGAAAGATGGCAGGAGGGAGAGAGAGAGAGAGAGAGAAACATCAATTTGTTGTTCCACTTATTTATGCATTCACTGGTTGACTCTTGTATGTGCCCTGATTGGAGATCAAGCCTGCAACCTTCATATATGGTTTGATGCTCTCACCAGCTGAGCTACCAGGCCAGGACCTTGGCCAGTATGATTCTTTTAGAAGATAACATGGCAGGATAGCGAGCCACCTGCCTTTCAGGTGAATCCTTGATTGATCTTTCTGGCTTTCCAGAGGATTGAGTGGCAGGATTTCCTAGTTCTCTGTTTGCCCACAGGACTGGCCTGGCTAGGCTGTTTCCTTGCCCACAGTGCTGCCTCAGGTGGCAGAAGCAGGGGAAGGGGTTATGGGCTTGGCTGGCTCTTGAGCAGGAACCCCCTGGGGAACTAGCTGCTAGTGCTTTGGTAGGAAGCAGACCAGAGTGACTCCTCTGATAAGCACCTCTCCCAGATCCTCAAAGGAGATATGAATTTCTGTTTTATGGAACCATGTGTGGTTCCTGGACAGGAAGTTTTATCTTCTATCTTATAATGCTGGACTTTGACCCTTAGGGACTAAAATTTCTGCCAAGCTGACTTAACCTTTGGGCAGTTACACGGGGCTGGAGCCCCCAGTCTTCGTTATATTATTGGCAGCCGGGCCCTCTAGCTTGGATATAAAGAGAGCGATTTTCAGCATTCACATTTGTATTTCCTCCCTTGACATGAGAAGCAATTAAGGTTTGGTTGCTCTCTCTAACAGGCCTTTGCAGCAAGTATATGATCCATGACTGGCCAGCAGAACTTACTGTGATAATGAAAATTTCTACGTTGTTGCTGTGGCGTATGATAGCCACTAACTGCATGTGGCTGTTGAGCACTTGAAATGTGTCTAGTGCAGCCGAAGAACTGAATTTTAAATTTTACTTACTTTTTATCAATTTAAATTTAAACAGCCATGTGTGGCTTAGTGGCTACTGTATTGGACAACATAGGATTGACCATTTTATTTGAGAAGTTTGTTTTTTAATTAAATAGGGAAAGCCCTATACATGCACATGGTAGCAATTCAAAAGGTACAAAAGGGTATCAGTGAAAAGTCCCCCTTATCCCTGCCCTTAGTCCCTCAGTTTCCCTTCCCAGTGCCAGCCATGGTTACCAGTTTCTTGTGTATTCAGAAATGTTTCACACATACATAAGCACAATGTATACATTTCTTTTTGTCTCCTGCTCAATGCAAGAGGTGCTATTCCGTCCATTCTCTTCTGTTCCTTGTTTTTTCTGAACTAACAATGTACCTTGGAGGTTATGAACCATAGAGACAAATAGAACTGCTTCATTATTATAATGGCTTACATTTAATTTTATTTGTAAAAGTATAATGGCTATACATTATACTTTGTAGTAAAGTTATACCATCATTTATGTAACATGTTCCCTATAGGTGGGTGCATGAGTTTATTTCCAATTTTTTGCTATAGTAAGTGATACTGTAGCAAATAACCTTGCAAAAACATATTTTCACACTTGTTCAGTTAGTTAGAACCATAAATTCCTAGAAGTGAGGTTGTTAGGTCAAGGATATGGGCATGTAACATTGCTGCAGATTTTGCCTAATTCTCATCTATAGGATTTGTCGATGGGTGTGTAAATTGGTACATTGTATGAGAGCCTCATTCCCCCACAGTCTCTACAGCACAGACTGTTATTAAACTTCTCATTCTTTCCAGCACGATAAATGAACATTACTATTACCTTATAGATTTAATTTGCATACCTCTTATTGTAAATGAAATTGAGCATCTTTTTTATATTTTTAAGAGTCATTTGTCTTTATGGTAAATTATTCAGATCATTTGTCCATTTTTCTATTGGACTTTATTGATGTTTATATTGATTTGTAGGAACCCTTTGTGCATTAAGGAAATTAGTCTGTTGTCTCTGATATGTATCGATACATTTTAACCTTGTTTATAATTTCTTTTCCATGTGGACATTTAAAAACATTTTTATGCTATCAGATTATTAATCTTTTTGTTATGGCCTCTGGTTTTATATCTTACTGAGAAAGGCTTTGCCCATGAAGATATTTTAAGAGTTCTCATGTTTTCTTCTAGAACTTCCAGAGTCATCTCTTTATGTTTAACTCTCTGATCCTCTGAAATAATTTGTGGTTTGTGGGTGGACCAACCCCTCCCCGCTTGCCTGCCTCCCATTCTCCTGCCGTGGGGCCCTTGCCAGCGTCTCTGCTCTGTCCAGCCCTCGGTTGGAGCTGTGTGGTCCCCTCTCCCTAGTCACTCTAGTAGCAATACTATTCTCATTTGCACTTTGGCTGCCACCTTCCTCTCATTTCTTTCTGAGCACAACTTCTAGGTAAACCCTAATCTCAAATGGAGAAGGAGAGTTTTATCCTGTTATTTGAGGGTCTCAGTTAAGTGTGTAGCCCTCAGAGACCACCCCCTCCGGCCCCAGCCTCCCTGCTCCCAGTGATGCCTTTCTCGCCCGCACAACCGTCGGTCGTCACCTCACACCCGGGTTGCATCCCTGCAGCACAGGTATCTTCTTTGACCTCCTTCTTCTTCTCCTATTACTGACAAGCCCTGGCCTTTATGCAAGTTGCTTAACTTGCTGGGGAAGTGACTTGAATCAGACGTCACTGTACCACAGGTTGTTGTATTTTGCATGTGCCATAAAGGAGAGCTCTGGACCTCCAGCAAAGCCAGCAGTTTTCTGGCTGTTAACACTTAGTTCCTATTTCCAATTATGATTTAATGCTTTGTCATTTTCTTTTTTTGTGATTTCAGAATCTCATTTCATCTTCTGCCAGAACTAGTAGCAGTTGGAGAAGAAGGCTGTGCTCTTTAAACCGTAGTGAGTATGAATTTTTAAAGCCGTAAATTACATAAAGAAAAAAGAGAAGCAGTTTGTAATAAGCCTGGGGTCCTCTGTAAGCTCCCTCAAAACTTCTGTACGTGGTAGATGATTACTCTGGTTCAGTAAGACTGGTGGGAGGGATTTGGGCCCCAGAAGGTTTTCAAAGCTCACATGTGCACCCAAAAGCCTCCTACAAGCACATGTCAATGACTTTGCCAGGGGCAGCGCTCTGACTTTGGAGGGAGTTTAGAAGACCTGGACCTGTGCGGACCAGGGCGCTTTCCTGGAGAGTGGGACACCCGAATCAGCTGCGGAGGCAGGGTGGACCTGAGTGTGCTCCACAGGAAGGGGACAGCATGAAGAAAAACAAAACATGAGGCTGTGCGGGGCTTGCCTGGGGGCAGGAGTTGGTTATGAGGGCTGCGGGCGGAGCTGTGGCCGTCCAGAGCAGGAAATTGAGCTGGGATCCTGCCAGTGGTCAGTGTTCACCAGCGCAGCTGCATCCCCAGAGGGAATTGTGAAGATTCCTCTGGCTGCTGGTAACGAAAGAACTGCACTGTGAAAGGGCAACCTTTGTACAAATGGGAGCAAGAAGTGAGGACCTGGATGTAGTATGATGGCTGAGGGACCTGTGTGTGGTCTGACTCATACAAAGTCTCACACCTGGTGGGAATTTTTCATCCCACCCAACATTCCTAGTAAATGTTGAACCAAAGTGGCATAAAGAATTGATTGTAAGAGGCTTTGAGGATGTAAACCCTCTAAAGTTGTGCTGGCCAGTAGAGTAGCTTCTGTTCATATGTGGCTATGAACCAATCGCCTGTGCTGGGTGTTACTGAAGAACTGAACTTTGAGGTGTGTTTAAGTTTAAATAGTCACATGTTAAATAGTGTGACTTTTTAGTCAAGTTGGCTCTAGTGCTGGCAGCTCTCCACTACTGCATAACAGGAGTGCAAATGGGAAGAGTGGAAGGTTCACCAGAGTCTGGGAGGCTGGACTGGTGGGGATACTGTTGGCAGAAATGAGTGAGTCAGAGGAATAGGAAGAGATGTGTCTGAGACATTGTAGGACTCTTGGGTCATTAGAGTGGTCAGGTAGGCTTTTGGAAAAGTGTGGAAGGTCCTGGCAAAGTATGATGCTTTTCTAATTCCCTGCGGGAGGGAGTGATGGAGGACATAGGAATGGAGAGGTCTTCAAGGAGGATGGAGAAGAGAGCATCATGGGAATATCCAGGGGAGAGAGAGAGGAGAGCATCTCAGAACCCACAGCCATGGCTTGTTTCAACAGCAGGGCACTCAGAGCTGCAAAGTGCAGAGGAGGAATGGGTTTGGCCAGAGTGAGGGGCAGACCATCAGGCCAGGAGGGCAGAGGCACGCACCTTGTGGCAGTCATCCTGGGGGCCATGCCGCATTTTCAGTGATGACTGACCAAGCTCAACATCCTGGTTGGAAACTTCAGTGTGATTTTCTTCTGGGATGGAGAAGATATATATGATAAGTAGTTAGCCCTGGCCAGGTAGGTAAGTTGGTTAGAGGGTCCGCCTGATGTGCCAAGGTTGCAGGTCAGGGCCTAGGCAGTAGTCAATGAACAAATGCATGGATGGGTGGAGCAATAGGCTGATGTTTCTCTTTCCCTCTCTCCCTTCCTCTCTCTCTCACTCTCTCTCTCTCAAATCAATAAATAAAAGATTTAAAAAAATATATATATATGTATGTATATTACAAGGAGTTAGAACTGTCCATTTCTTGAATTATTCCATCTCATCAGTCCTGGGGCTTCTGCACAAGACAATCTTATTATCTTTGTGTCTTTTTCAGATGTTGATCATTAGTGATAGTTTTGAGGAGTCAATTAGTCTTTATAAGAACCTAGTTTCAGAAATCAGTACTGGGTAGATGCAACAGTATTTAAGAGCTGGCATATTATACTCAGATTTCAAGAATGTAGTATTTTTCTAACAGCAGTAGTACACCAGAGGATTGTGAGGGGACAAATGAAAAACCCCAAAAGAAGAAAAAGCAAAAGCTCCACGAGGCTCCTCAGGAGAATAGAATGGAAGACCCACCTGTCTCTTTATCCAAACCCAAGAAAAGGAAATCTTACAAGGAGAAGCTGGTTGGTAGTGATCTTGAGGAGACAGCTGGCAGTGGAAGTCTTCCCAAGAGGAAGAACTGTTTCCCCAAATAGGAACCAGTTGGTAACCCTGAAGAAGCAAGAAATAGGAGTGTCCCCCGCAAAAAGAGGACATGCTCTTCGAAGGAGAAGCCACTCGGCAGTGGACCTGAAGAAGCTACTGGCAGCTAGAGCAGCAGCTCTAAGAGAAAGAAGAAGCTCTAAAAGCTCCTCCTAGAAGAAGAGAACGGACAGGGCCCTGGTGGGGCAGAACCGCCCGCAGTGACCCATCCTCTACGTCTTAATAAAAACAAATTCACAAGAAAAAAAAAGAATGTATGTTTTCCTAGTGGAAAACAGTGTGGAAAGAATTTTTTTTCAATTTTTTTCATCCTCACCTGAGGACAGTTTTTTTAAATTGCTTTTAGAGAGAGAAGGGAAGGTAAAGAGAGAGACACTGATTGGTTGCCTCCTCCAAGTGCCTGGACTGGGGGTCATAGGCACCCAGACCCAGGATCAAACCCACAACTTAGGTTTGTGCTCTGACTGGGAATTGAACCTACAACCTTTTGGTTGCAGGACGGTGCTCCCACCAACTGAGCCGTACCAGCCAGGGCAAGAATTACCATATTGCAGAATCAAAGGAAAAAATTGTAAGCAACACTGGATAGTTTTCAAAACACACCAGTAGGAATAAGGGAATACGCTCACTCATAACTTGTAAATTTAGCATATTATTTGCAAAATAAATGTCTGCTTACAGCAAGCACTGAAAGAAGGCAAAGGTGGCATGAAACCAGGGACACCTATAGGATTAGAATGAAGTGTAGGTCATTACCATTTATCACCCAGGTGACCTTGGAGGATGGAGCCAGATACAACCTTCCCCCAAACTGACTGGCATCCATAGCAGGCTTCGGCAAAGCTACAAGGTTTCTTTTTTGTGGTCATACTTTATGATGGGGCTGCCTTCTCCAGTTTCAGAGTCTGTGATATATATGGTTTTGGGCATAAAAGGTCCTAATTCCTAGTCTGAAGGAACATCAGGTCATTAACTCCCTGCAAGCTCAGGCATCGGAATTCCTGGTGACCCTCCACAGTTTTTAAGGACGTTGTGTGATGTGGAAAAGTCCTCTTGAAGCCTTGCAGTTCCCATCTTCATCAACTCTTTTGTGGCCAACAATGTTCAAACATTTGTAAAGTTCCCTTCACTTTGCAAGTAATTTGCTTACCCCTTGATGGTGAGGCCTTTTAGCGATGTAAATTGTACTCAGCATTAAATAGGTAACTCCTCTGGGGAGTTTTGTAATTACAGAAAAAGGAAAAAAGTCTCATAGCGTCCTTGGGAATAGTTGTCCCTAACACAAACGGCATTAAGCCCATTCTGTAACTTTGCTTTTTTATTAATTCATTTGCATCTTATTTGTGTCTTGTGCTTGTGCTAGGCACTGAGAAAGAACATATATAATTATCCCTTCCTTCACAGAGCTCTGGTTCTAGAAGGAAAAACGGGCCAATGATTTAAGTGTACTGGAAAAGTGTTCACCGTAGTCGAGAAACTGAGAGGGCATTGAATCAGAAACACAGGCACCACTTCAGCCCCGGAGGAGGTGGCAGCTTTCGTTGCTGTAGACTCAGGACTGAAGCCAGATAAAGTGTGTGTGTAAAACTGAAAGAACCATCTGCCCCACCTACACATGCGTCTGTCTCCTAGGCCGTGAGGGGCTTGATTTGCCAAACTCCTGAAAAAGACAAGACATCTAAATGGAGCTGCCACATCTTCATGGAGAAATTAGGGTGACAGGTGTGGGTATTTAACATCAAAGATGTTATAAAGAATTGAGAAAAGGCCATTTGGAAACAATTAGACAAAGTGGAGCTTGTTGCAGCGGGAGTGAGCCCAATCCAGAAACCTGTTTTACAATTCTGACTCTACTAGAGCTGAGTGACCTTGAGCAAGTTACTTAACTTCTCAGTTTCATCAGCCTATAAAACAGGGGATAACACCCTCTTGTGTATTTGGTGTGTTGTATCAAGGGTTGGCAAATTATAGCCTGCAGGTCAAATTTGGCTTGCAGCCTGTTTTTTAAATAAAGTTTTGTTGAGAATCAGTCATACCTACTCATTACCGGTTGTGTATGGCTGCTTTCTCACTATTATGGCAGATCCAATAGTTGTGACAGAAACCCCGTGGCACACAATGCTAAAATATTTATCAGCTGGCCCTTTACAGAAAAAATTTGCCGACCCCTATGCTCAGTGGTTGTGAAGTCATGCTGTGTCGTTATGAATTCATTATAAAATCGAAATAATGTCAGTTGATGAAGGGATATGGGAAAGATATCTCCATTTCACAGGAAATATAAGGAAGACCATGATCTTGAAGAAGTCTCCTTTTTTTTTTAAATATTTGGTGAAATGCACACCTAACACAGGGGGCTGGGACTCAGGTGGCAAAGGGCCACAGCTGGTTTACAGGTCCTTACAGAGTTGTTTTCACTATTGGGGAAGATGATGGGACTTGAAATATTTTTTGTTTTAAGAAAAAAAGAGCAATGTTCTTTTTTTAAGGTCCTCCCTAACTTTTAATCTTTAAAAATTGCTATGGAAATTTTGAAACCTATAGAACCTATAGAAGAGTTGAAGGTTACCATGTAACCTTCACCTGGATTGACCAATAGTCAACTTTTCACCATACAGGGTATTTGCTTTATTTTTCTCTCTTCTCCCACCAACACACACACATATGCACACAATTTTTTTCCCCTCCTCAACTTTTAAAAGTTAATAGTAAATATCACTCTACTTCACTAATAGTTGAGCAGACATCTCCTAAGAACAGAAACATTCTCCTGCAAGCAAAGGTAACCACGATTTCCTTATCACACTCAAGAATTGTATCACCAATACAATAATATCATCTAATATCCAGTCCTTACTAAGATTTTCCCAATTGTCCTAACAATTCCCTTTATAGCTTAGAATAAAATCCAGGACCCTCCCAGGGATTCTTCACTGCATGTAGTTGACATGCTTGTTCAGTTTCTTTAAAGCAATTGCCTACTTTTGTTCCTTCCTTATTTTCATACATCTTGGGTCTTTCACTTTTCTTTTTCCCTTTAATTCGTCCATTTTTTTCTTGAGACAGAGTTTCAATACTGTCACTCTCTTCAGTCCTGCAGGTGCCAGCCAGCATCGAAGAACAGGATGGATCTTGATGTGGTTAACATGTTTGTGATCGCGGGCGGGACTCTGGCCATCCCAATCCTGGCATTTGTGGCCTCGTTTCTCCTGTGGCCTTCAGCGCTGATAAAAATCTATTATTGGTAAGTTAACTTTATAGTTGAAGTTTTCAGGGGTATCACAATGTCATCTTCTCTGCTTGTCCTTTTGGTTGTTGTTCAACATTTTGTCGTGAAATATCTCAAACATACAGAAAAGTTGAAAGACATCCGTTTCTGAATTGTGGGAGTGTTCCTGTAGAATTGGTGGTAGCTTCTCACCAGGTAACTTCTCCAAGGTTTCTGATAGCATCTTTGCCCAGGAGTCCAGCCTCACTGCCAAAGTCACTGATTCTTTGAAGGAAGGCTTGTGCACATTTAAGGGAATTTCTTTGGTAGTTTCTTGGTCCTTGGATTCTGATGCAGTGCGGGGCTGACAGGTGCAGTGATGTGTACTGATAAGTGAATTAGAAAGAGCAGGACCTGGAGAAGGCACATGGGTGGGACAGATGGTTTCAGATTTATTCTAAAGTTGTGTATTAGTAAAGTGGCAGAAAGAAAGAAGACCTTTCCAAACCTTCCGTTGTTCTTGAACCATCTTTGTGATGCTCGCCCTATCTGCACACCACCTCTCCTCTTGTGTTATCTGTAGAGTAAGTAACTTTTTGTAACTTAATTTATTTTAAGAGTAATGTAAATATCATTACCCTAAGTGAAAAGCTTGCCATACTTGCCATACATAGTAAATTAATATAAAAAAGTAAAAATAAGCAGAATGCCAGTAAACAATGTTCTTAAATTCTAGCCTAGATATCGCCACCTACCAAAGACTCCGTGTCTCCTTTCTCTTTTGCGCAAAGTCTATGCGGGGTGTGAAAGATGTAGCAGCCCCAACAGAGCCTTCCTCCTTGAGGGAATCAGAAACTTAACAGTTGAAAAGAGAGGCGCTTTCTCATGATGTGCTTCAGGGACTTTTCATGGCATAGCCCACTTACTAAATAAAATCACCCTTCCCTCATATGCGTCCCGGGGTGAAGGAAATACCAGAACAGACCTGGTTCTGCCTTGTGCCCTAGGGAAGCACACTGAGGTTTCACTCATTCTTCGGGGAGTTAGAACTGCCTCCTGTGCTCAGCGAGAAGAATGCAGGGAGTTTGGCATGTGCCCTTTATCTGCCCTCCTTTCTGGCTCCCTTTTGTTTCATCAGAGTGTGGAATTTTCCACCTGCCAGTCAGGCTCTGATCCTTGACAAGAAGCTAATTGAGCAGAAGGGAGGTTTTCCTCTTTCACTCTCTCTCGGGAGGTGGGGAGGTGGTGACCCTTTCGGAGACTCACCCAGGATCCACCTCTGCACTAACAAAGCTGAGACGCCAGCTGTTTAAATGCTGGTGTCCTTGCCGCTCTAGCAGCAGGAGTGCGTTGGGGCCAGGCCTCCCATGAAACCTAACATGGAGAGGCCAGAGTTGTGTGCCGCACGTGTGCCCGCAGGGGTCCATGGACCTCCGCACACCAGTGCCATTTTTCTTAAATCAAATTGGAATGGAGAATGCAGTTAGGTGATGTGTCCTGCTGCAATTGCTAGCGCTGCATGCGCAGGTGTGATTACAGAAAGGCTGATTCCAGCGCCAATGCCGAAAGCAGCCTCCGTGCTACCCAGTCCGCATCCCCCAGTGTCCTTGGGTGTCAGGAGAAGGCTTTTGGAGTCAGAGCTGCCCCTCATGCAATGACCAGGGCGCCGCCTGTTGTGGGTCTGTTGTCTCATGGCAAAGCATTTAGTTCCTCCTGCAGGAACAGTCAGAGTCCACGTCCCTGTGGAAATGGGCTGGCCGTGCTCCAGGGACACTTGCAATTGGGGCATTTTTCTATAGTATGACTTATACTTCAATTAAAAAGTTTTTCTGAAATATAACAATGATGTGTGTGGAGAAATTGGACCCCTCATATACTCTTAATAGGAATGCAAAATGGTGTAGCCACTTCGGAAAAGCCTTGCAGTTCCTCAAAAGGCTTAAAAGAAAAAAGGTACTAAATGACCCAGCAATTCCCTGCCTAGGTATTTACCTAAGAGAATTGAAAACGTGTATGTCCACACAAAAACTTGTTCATGGATTTTCACAGCGGCATTATGCAAAAAGTAGAAACAGCTGATGAATGGATAACTAAATGTGGCATATCCGTATAAAGGAATATTATTTCACCTTGAAAAGGAATAAAGTACTGACACATTCTATAATATGGATAACTTGAAAACCTTATGCTAAGTGACATAAGCCAGACACAAAATGACAAATACTGTGTGATTCTGCTTACGTGAGGTACCTAGACTGGCCAAACTCAGAAACAGAAAGTAGAATGGAGATTACCAGGGGCCTAGGGACAGGAAGGAATGTGGAGTTTTTCTTTAATGTACACCAAATTTCTATTATTTGGGATGATGAAAAGTTCTGTAAATGGATAGTTATGATGATTGGTGTACAATATTGTGAATGTACTTAATGCCACTGAATTGTACCCTTAAATGGTTAAAATGGTAAATTGTATGTTGTCTATATTTTACCACAATAACAAACAAACTGAAAAAAGAAGTGTATAAGTACTTTTCTTCAGGGGTTGCTGCTGTAAACTAGAGAAGGCAGCACTTGTAAAATGAAAGGTCTGGACCCTGGGGGTCTTTCTCACAGAGGAGCCCCATGGAGGTTGCTTTTGGGGGGCTTCAGTGACATCTGTCCCTGAAACAGAAAAAGTTTGGCTTTTGTATCAACATTGTTCATCTGTGAAAGATCTTGTTCCTGAGACATGTTTATCCCAATTTAACTTTTCTCTTTGTTTCTGTTCTGTATACTTGCAGCCATTTCTAATCTCTGCCTTTGTGACATTTATAATTTAGACGTAATTTTTTCTCTATTACCCTTAAACCAAAGAAGTTGGGTTTGTTTGTTTGCTTTCTATCAGGGCCATTGCTCTCGCATAATTTTTAACTGACCTTGTAGCTTAAGGAATGTTCTTCCCACTCTTTCGTTGAGAGGATCAGTTGAAGTTACTGAAAATATTGATTCTTTAGCTTCTGTTTCCAAAGCCTAGATAAAGTTTTCCAGTGGACGTATCCATTAAATGAAATACATGGATTAGTGCCCCAGAGCTCTACCTGGGAATGAGGAAGTCCTAATTCCTGAGTTAGGCTGCCTTTCCAACCCCATCTCCCTTCACTCTCAGGTCAAGTCAGGCTTGGTTATCCCCCTGCCCTTGCTTCTGCTTTCTGCGTTGTCTCCAGCTGTTAGGTGTTGAGTATCCAGATGTTTATGCAACGTCACCTTTCCTACCAGGTCCTTCCAGCTCTTCCTTGATCTCATACTGCTTGCTCTTTGTGTTAGAGTTGTAGACAGTTTGAAGATCTTGAAAAGGTAACACAGAGAAAATATAAATCATCTATAACCCCCAAAATGATTTTCTCCAACATTGCTTTCATTCTGATCACTTCTTTCCACACCTCATCTCTATATAGTTAACATTTTTTTAACAGAATTGGAAACAATAGTATAAAAAAATTGGGTCCTATGTTTTCATTTGATATCATGACATAAACATTGTCCTGTTATTAAATATTCTTTGAAGACCCCATATTTTTAAAAAATCCTCACCCGAAGATTTTTTTAAATTGATTTTAGAGAGAGAGGAATGGGGAGAGAAAGAGGGAGGGAGGGAGAGGGAGAAAGAGAGATATCAATGTGAGAGAGATACATTGATTTGTTGCCTCCCTTTCACACCCCGACCTGGGATCAACCTGCAACCTAGGTATAAGCCCTGACCAGGGATCAAGTCCACAGCCTTTTGGTGTATGGGCCGGTGCTCCAACCAACTGAGCCCCCAGCCAGGAATGAAGATCTCGTTTTTAACAGCAAAGTATTCCGTTGTCTGGATACATTGTGATTTATGTAATAAAGTTTCTATCTATGGACATTAAAGTTAGTGCAGATTTTTTTTCCTAATTTAAATACATCATTGAACATCTTTAGAAATATTCTTTCAAGATTTCTGCTTCTGTTCTTGGAACAGATTATTCCTGGAAGTATAATTACTGGGGTAAAAGGCATGAGGTTTTTAAAGAGCCTGGATGCTTAATTCCAGGCTGCTTTCTAGAAAGGTCAAACATTATAATTGTTTTTTTTAAGAGCTTCTTCAAATTCAGAAGTCCATTAAAAATGCATTTCTTGTTATAATATTCATTTCTATCATTGGTAGTCAAGTTGGACATGTTTCCTATGTTTGTTAGTCATTCTCTTCTACTCTGAGAAATCTTTTCATTTATTTTGTTTAGTGTTGAATTGGGGGGTCTTAGCATGGTTCTTATCATTTTGTAAGCTTTTTATATATTAAAGATATCAATCTGTGGCTGTCATATTTGTTGCAAATTTTTCCCTTGAGCTTTGGCAAGTGATTTATTTACAAGGATAGATTCTTCTTTATATTATACTAATAACTACCATTTATTAAATACCATGTCCTGAGCACTGAACAAAACTTTATATATAGGTTATCTCATTTAATCTTTACCAAATTCTCAGCAGAATGAAACATTTTCCTTTATTATAGATTAGATTCAAGATCATATAGTCTTAATCTTACCAAATTCTTTACCAAATTCTCAGCAGAATGAAACATTTTCCTTTATTATAGATTAGATTCAAGATCATATAGTCAATAAATGAATGATCTGGCATATGAGTGAATGAACAAATATGTATTATGTGCACAATGTAGAATTTTTAAGCAAGTTTGCTTTGTCATAAGAAGAGCTTTAAGGTAGTCAATTTCATTATATTTTTAATGTTTCAAATAGGCAACACTTTCATTGCAAAAGTGATAAAAGTCTTTTTCCCACCCCTATTTGTCTCTCCATCTACTTCTCACTGTATTCCCTACCTCCATTCCAGATACTCATCTTTAAAGGGTCTTCTATATGCTCCCATACTTTTTGGATGCAGATCCAAATAAATATGAATTTATATTATTATCTCACCTCCTCTTGTTTTGCATAAAGGGTTAAAATCAGTTAATTTAGGCTATGTGCTTTTGCAAGACTTGGCTACGTTTTTGGTGCAAAATATACCAGAGAATGAATCTTGGATTGAATTAATTGTCTTTCATCTTGGAGAGATTCTTCATGCAGAGTTCAATTTGCTTAGATGGTAATTTAGTATTGAAATCAATTTCAGGCCAAACTCCAGCACTGCCAAGTCTTATGTAACCAACAGAAGCTGAGCTTTCAACCAGCTTCCATATGTTGTAGCGAATAAAATCAGAGGACCAGACCAGACAGTCCTTCAAAAAACAAGTTCTCACTCTGAAAATCTCTAGAAAAAAATATACATATTTTCTGGGGAGAGGTAGAATTATGACCTTTATTGAGTTTATCCACTGGAGTGAAAATGTCTGCACAAAACCACATTGGTTACTATAACTTCTGCATCACAATTAAAATCCAAAAAATTTTTTAAAAACCCCATCACCTCCATCAAAATTCACTACTTCAGAAGCCATATCTTTAAAGCCATAGTAACACTTCAATATGATTACGACTCAAATGATGAAATTCGGTTGATTGGAAACCTAATTAAACCTCCGGCTTGTTCAAATAGATTTATAAATAGGAAACACTGTTTTTTGCAGAGATCCAGTCCACTGCCATTCCACCCACACTGCGCAGCTGCTCGAGCGTTAAGAGCCCTGAGACCCTAAGACATACAGGCTCCTTTAGACTGTCCCCTGGTGTGTTCTTTCCTCCCAATCAGAGACTCGTGGGCGTGTGGAATGACACCGCCACCAGCAACTGCAGCCTTGGTGAGAGTCCGATTCTTCATCTCCATCAGTAGCAAATTGCAAGTGACACTGCTGTTAAGTCTTTTGGTGCTTTTCCTGCCAATTAAAGTGCCTCTGCAGGGAGGTCTCACTCCAGGATGCCTGCTCTGTGCACAGCCGCAGTGCTGCCCGCATGCCCTTGGTCGCTTGCCCTAGATTTCCGGCATTGATGAAGATGGGCCGCCAGACTGCAGACCGGCTCTCTGCGAGAGGAAACCGTCTTGTCTCGGCCTTTCCGGAGCCCTTCCCAGCCTTACCACTAGCCATTTCGATCTGCAGACATCTCAACCAATTTAGGCAGATAAAGGCTAGTCAGACACCCAGTGAGATCCCACCGCCGACCCCTCCTTTGCAGTGCCATTCGACTACTAGAAATATGTATTAACAAGAGGTTATTATGTGTCATGCTTCTTAATAAAACACCTTTTACCTCCTTCCTAGTTTACAGTGATTATGGAGCGACATACATACCACAATATTCATTTAAGGTGCTTTCTGGAATTCTTTCACTTTGAGCTCCTTGAGGGTGAAGCTGTAGGGGACTTCAGAGTCAGATGTGGAGGAGGAAACCCAGGTCTTACCTCTCAGCAACACTATAGGGAGGACCTGTGCCCCGACTTCTCTGGAGCTTGCTGACTTGGTGTGGCCTATATTTTTCCTTCCCAGGTACTGGCGGCGGACATTGGGCATGCAGGTCCGCTACGCTCACCATGAAGACTATCAGTTCTGTTATTCCTTCCGCGGCAGGCCTGGGCACAAACCTTCCATCCTCATGCTCCACGGGTTCTCTGCACACAAGGACATGTGGCTCAGCTTGGTCAAGGTGCAGTAGAGAAAAGGGGTTCCACTTGGACATACTGTCAGCAGCAGTGGTAGAAAGCAAAGGAAAACCAGAGCTGTGGCTCAGGTTATCTTAAAACTAATATAATATTTGATTCAATTTTTCTGGTCCGCAGACTGGTGCTCAGTCCACTGAGCCACACCAGCCAGGGCTGATTCAGTTTGTTTGTTTGTTTGTTTTTTTATCAGAAAGAATTTATTGAGTTGAATGTTATTTGTAAAATCTGTGCCTTAGAAATCATTTCACCTTATGGGTATTTCTTAGGAAGGGTTTCTGACCCTCAGCTTCATCTCAGAACTTCCATTATCAAGGTCAGGCTTTAAAAAAAATCATTTGTTCTTTTGTGCTCCAAGTTTCTCCTCTTCTCTCTTCCTTCCTCTATTTCTCCCTTTTACCTCCTTCTTCTCTCCTCCCTCATCCTTACCCCCATTTTTTATTTTTGCTTTTTGTATTTTTTTCTTCATTAGCCATTTAGAGAAGTGATCTTGATTTGGCAGGTTTCTGGGATAGTTTTCCAAATTACTTGCTTTCTGTCCTGCTTAACTGGGGCGTGGTAACTTGCTTTACTTGGGAAGAATGATGAGCTGGTGAGGGTGGGGCTGGGAGAGGTCTTGGGAGGGAAGCACCCCAGGCTCCCACCTCAAGCAGGACCATGCCTGATGACCTCAGTGATGGCCTGCAGCAGAAGGAAAAGGCCCCACGCATCCTCTAGTTACTTGTGTTCTTATTTCCAAATTCCACTGTAAGGACAGCCATCCTCATGTCTTAATGAACCTTTCGCTTCCTGTCCCCACTTCAGATAAGCATTTTTTAAAAAAAAATATTTATTGCTGTTCAATTACAGTTATCTCTATTCTTTTAAATGTTTTTTAAAAGTTTTTATTTGTTTACTTTTAGAGAGAGGGGAAGGAAGGGAGAAAGAGAGGGAGAGAAATATTGATGTGCAAAATATTGATCAGTTGCCTCTCGCATGCCCCCAACTAGGAACCTGGCCCACAACCCAGGCACATGCTCTGACTAGAAATTGAACGGGCAACCTTTCAGTCTGCAGGCTGGTGCTCAATCCACTGTGCCACACCAGCCAGGGCCAAATAAGCATCTTTCATAAAATTGGGTATTTGTTTATTGATAACTGATGTTTCTGAGTTTCCTAGTTAAAAGTGGCACATATTTAAACGGAAGAAGGTGTTTTAGGATAATAGTCACCCCAGGAATTACACTTTAATGCAAAAAAAGAAAAAAAAGTTGAAACCAGAATCAGGGTGATCAGACATAGTTCTTAAAAAAAAGCCTTGCTCCTGTGGGCTCTGGAGCAAGACTCTAGGAGAACAGAACCACCCCTTCTAGTTCCCAGTCAGTGGTGGAATGACTGGAGGAAGTATGGAGGGAAGGGGAAAGAAGAAGGAGGTAGTACCGGCCAACTGGTGTCAAAAGTGGGAGTTGCAAACGTGCTGCCAGACCTTTGTCTCCCTTTTCCAATCATCCTCCTAGTCCCCTTCCATCTGTCTTTATTAGTCCTTGGGGGCCTCTGCTTCCTAGGAGGCTCCTGGCAATACTCATTCCCAGCAGATATTACTAGGGTGAAACTCCGGGTGGCCAAGGCCTATATATCCCCAGGGTTGGCTATCCATGTTACTTGGTAAGTAGGCACGACCTTCCCAGGAGAGTGGGCAGGCATTTTCTTCACACCACATACTGACTCTCTGGCCCTGTGTGTTCTCAGTTCCTTCCAAAGAACCTACACTTGGTCTGCGTGGACATGCCAGGACATGAGGGTACCACCCGCTCTTCCCTGGATGACCTGTCCATAGATGGGCAAGTCAAGAGGATACACCAGGTAAGCAGGGCTCCACCAAAAATTTTCGAGAGTGTGGGTGTTGCCTACCTTTGCATGCCCATGCCTGGAGAGCAGGTAGGAGAGTTTCATACTGACTCATATCAAGTGTTCAGTGCATTCTGTTAAGTAATTGTAAGCAAAGTGGCACACTAATGGTGTCCTTGGTCCACTATGGAGGACCAGGGCTTATTGCAGCCTGTTCTCCTATTGCAGTTGTTTGTGAAGATATATGACGATCTGAGCATTTTCTCAGGTCTTTGAAAGTGGAGTTTAGTATCTCTCAAGGCCATTTGCCTAGAGTCAGCTTTTCTGCTTACCAACTATATGATGACAGCAATAGTCCTTCTGCCTAGTTATGGAGGATGGGGAGGGTGAACTTTGCATTTTGTTCTATTTCAGCATCTAATTTCAGCCCCTCTCTGGCTGGGCTTTCAAGGTCATGGGGCTCATGGACCATTTCAGAATTTAGTAGTCCATAAGTTTCAAATTGACATTGGGTATTTTTCCCAGACAAGGATATTTATTTAATATGTTCCCCCACCCCCACTAAACTATGTATTTTGATGAGGTCAGGAACCTTGTCTCTTTGACTCTTTGTTGTATCTTCTACAGTTGACTATAGTTCCTTGTACAGAACAGGTATCCAATTAATATCTTTTAGGTAACTGATGTTTATTTAAAACATCAGTGGATGGTTGGTTGGATGGATGGTTGGGTGAGTGTTTGGATGGTTAAGTAGACAGGTGGATGGGTAGTTATGTGAATGGATGGCTGGATGAATGAGAAGGACTTTAAATTAGGGCAAGAGTCAGCAAACCATGGCCCGTGGGCTATGTTAGTCCTGCTACCTACTTTTATAAGCAAAGCTTTGTTGCAACACAGCCACACTCATTCCTTTATGTATTGTCTTTAGTTGCTTTTGTGCTACAGCAGCAGAGTTGAGTAATTTCTACAGAAATCATATGGCCCGCAGAACAGAGAATATCTACTCTCAGGACGTTTATAGAAAAGTTTGCTGACCCATGAATCAGGAGAATCTTTCTTGGTTTTATATTCATAAATGACCCCTCAATCACTTGTGCCAGGTAAAGATAAGTGCATGCCTTCCTTGGGCTCATCTGGATAATGGATCTAGTAGAGTTTCAGACCTCCTTTCATCAATAGCCCTTTTCATTTGTCTCCATAGGCAAGAGAGGCTTTTTGCTCTGTAAGCATTATTGTCACTGTCTACAGCTCAATAACCAAACCCCCTTCTCATTTTCCTTCCCAGTTTGTGGAATGTCTCAAGTTGAACAAAAAACCATTCCACCTGATAGGTACCTCCATAGGTGGCAATGTGGCCGGGGTGTACGCTGCTTACTACCCATCAGATGTCTGCAGCCTGTCTCTCGTGTGCCCCACTGGTGAGTTACCAGGCTACACTGTCCCCATGAGTGACTGGAGACCGCAGAGTCTGAATCTCCGAAGGAGCAGGTGGCAATGTCCGCTTTGACTGCTCTTAGCATCATCTTTCGTTGTGCCCTTGAGAGACATGCAATGCTTTTGTGATCGCTAACCAAACAATAATTATCTAACCGTAATTATAACACACTGACTTTAAAACAATCGAGCCAGACTTGTTTCACAAAGAATTTGGTGGTTAATTAAAATGTGCATAGTACTTTGCAGCACAAAAATACTTTGAAATACAATGACAATATTAATATCCAACATGTATTGAGCTCTTTTGAGCTAATCTCTTTATATGGAGTTAATTCTCACCATAGTCATAACGTTATGAGGTGAAGGGGCTATTATTATGCCTCTCTTTTTTGCTGAAAAGGCAGAGGTCTTTATTCATTACAAGATCTTTTTTAAAAAATCAACAAACTTTAGTTTCTCTGTTCTTATTTGTATACATGTCAACTTGAGCTATAAAATGTCCCCAGGAATTCTGATCTGAAGTTGGATTTTTAAAATTCATTTTTCTCACGTAAGTCTTTAAACTTGGGTTTATAAGAGAGAAAAATCTTAATATTTTTCTTTTTCCTTCTCTTGCTTCCTTTCTCTCTGTTACTTTATTGGCATCTGATTTACATATATTTTAAATGTCCATCGCAGTAACTTTTTACATATGTAATTATATCCGGTCAAAATAGTATACCCATTTTATTAGTAGGAACATTGAGGTCCAAAGAAATTATTTTAGTGCCTGAGCCAGAATAGGAACCGATCCTCGGCTGTCTGGCTCTAGAGCCCAAGCTGTGGCCTTTTCAGAAGTCCTTCTGTATTCCCTCACTCCTCTGTATGATTCACGTCCACTCCCCACTTTACCCGCTAGAACTCAGCTTTGAGTCAAACATGTATACCTTCTAAAACGAAACTAAGCTGGCCTTTAAAATGTTTTGGTTGCTCTGAAAGTAAAGTTTTCAGGTCTGTTAAGGGCATTGAAATAGAAGTCAAGCTCCCAATGGATTTTCTCTTCCCCTCTTCCCAGGCACCATACCTGAAATCATTTGGTCTTTTAATAATAAAGTTTGAGAATTGGATACACAGCCCCTATGGAAGGTTATTAGATTTTTAAATGACTTATGGAATGTCAGATCTAATTGGCTTTTTCAAGTGTATGTTCACTTGTTCAAAGAGTTTTACACCTGAGTTTCAACTGGAAATTTAAGATTGTTTGATGAGAAAATGGAAGGATAAACTTTTTTTACTTTGAAATAATTTTAAGTTTGCAAAATGTTACAAAGATAGTTACAGAGTTCCATCTACCCTTCACCCAGTTTCCCCCATTGTTAACAGCTCACATGACCACAGTAAATTTGTCACAACTAAGAACCAACACTGGTACTTTACTATTAATTGAACTCCAGGCTGTATTTGGATTTCATTAGTTTTTCCATTAATGTCCTTTTTCTGCGCCAGGATCCAGTGCAGGACACCACGTGACATTTAGTTGAGGATTCTTTTTCAAGTGGAAGGAAATAACTCCTACAACCGCCCTCATGGCATTGTGAAAGCCACGTGATGCCCCGTTAGATTTAAATGAGTTACTGAATATAGGAGATTTATAATGTGTGAATTTCTGCAGCCTAGAATTGATACCATTGCCTTTCTGAAATCTAGTTCTTAAGCTAAGTTATACACTTAGAAATTTGCTCAGTGTTGGAAGCCAAAATGAGTTTTGCCCTCCTATATACACCAGCTTGTGTGAATTTTCTCATGTTGTGCTCCAGGGTACAGGAAATAATGGTCCATCTCAAAGCTTTTCAGTCTCGGCCATCGCCTGCTGTTCTCCTGGAGGAAGGGAGACTGTGCAGGGGGCAGCCACTGTCCTCCTTTAGGGAGTGGCTCAGAAGTGGACTGCTCTCACTATGTTTTGTATTTGACCCTCAAATAAGAGATTGCTGCCCTGACCGGTGTATCTCACTTGGGTGGGCTTCATCCCGCAAATTCACCTTCATTCGCCTTGATTCCCGGTGAAATCACATGCCTGGGTTGTGGGTTCGGGCCCCAGTCAGGCATGCACAAGAGGCCAACTAATCAATGTTTCCCTCTCGCTTTGATTTTTCTTTCCCTCTCTTTCTCCCTCTTTCTAAAAATAAATAAGTAAAATCTGTAAAGAGAGAGAGAGAGGAGAGAGAGATTACTAAGTAGGTCCTGGCCAAGGAGAGGGGTCGTCAGTCCCTTTAATTCAGTGTTTTCTAACCATTATGCATTTTGTGAGATCTTCCCGCAACACAGATGTGAAAGGGGCTCAGGTAGCTTGGCTTCTAGATTAATGATTCTTAAACTATCATACAGGTAAACTTCCTGACAACTGTTAAAAATGCAGGTTCTGATTGAGGAGCTTAGGGATAGACTGAGAGTCTGTATTTCTTATAGGCTCCCAGCACTGCTGGTCCATGGACCACAGTTTGAGTCACCAGTCCCTAAAATATCTTGAAGGATTTTCCTATGTTTCACTTCAGAGTGTGGTTTTGGACTTTCAGCAAGGATGGCAGTAGCAATTAAAAGGGAATCTGGTCAGATACAAACAAACAAATAAACAAACAAAAAAATCACCTGGAACCTATTGGCTCTTGGCTGATACTAGAAGTTCCCTCCATAAAACAGTGGTTGGTAAGAGGGAGGATGAATTGCCAGGTTGTTTGTGCTTGGATCCCACAGGGCTGCAGTACTCAAGTGATAATCAGTTCATACAACAGCTCAAAGAACTGCAGGACTCGGCTGCAGTAGAGAAGATTCCCCTGATCCCAACCACCCCAGAAGAGATGAGTGAAATGCTCCAGCTCTGCTCCTACGTCCGCTTCAAGGTGCCCCATCAGGTAATGTGATTTCAGCCGCAAAATGCTTGCCTTCTGTCAGAGGCTCTGGTGGCCAGTCCCGGCTTCCTCCATGCACCCCTTCTCCCTGTGCTTATCTATTTATTCATTCATCATGTATCTGTATGGCGTCTGCAACATGCCAGGCGCTGTGCTTGGCCACAGTGGTGAATAAATGAGGCAGAATGGTTCCTGGGTGGACACAGGCTAGCGGGAGGCAGACAGTTAACAAGTAGACAAATTATTACAAATTATAATACATTTTCTAGGGGAAATGAAGATGGGTCAGTAGATAAAAGCAGAGAGGCAGTGGAAGAATTGATAATCCTCTTTCAGGGAATAGCATGTTCAGAAGTGAAAAATACATAGACAAGTTTAGACACTAGAAGGATCCAGGGTGACGACACTAGAGTGTGAGGGAGAGAATGGGATGGATGAGTTTGGGAGGGAGGGAGGGGCTAAATCAGAGTCTCAATTTTTTTTTTTTAATTTCAGGACCACTTTGTACTCTCAAAAATTATTGAGAACCCCAAAGAGCTTTTTTTTTTGTGAAAGTTATAACTATGGATATTTACCATATTAGAAATGAAAATTCAGAAAAACTTAAAACACAGTAACGTTATCCCTTGTTATATAGGCTCTGTAAAACAGTATGCTTTTGAGAGAATGAAAGCGGAAAAGGCAAATAACATTTAGCCTTAGGAAAATAGTTTGACCTCATGGACTCCCAAGATCCACTTTGAGAACCATTGGGCTGTATCCTGGAGAACTTTATAGGCTATGGAAGGAGTCTGGGGTTTTTCTAAGTATAATAGGAGAATACCTGAAGGATGGTAGAAAAGTACAAACAGAAGCAGGGAAGCCCATTAGGGTGTTCTTGTGGCTTAAAGATGATGAACATGTGTAAAGATGAGGGTCGCAGGGTGGTAGAGTGGAGACAGAAGCTCTGAAATGCTTCAGGAGGAAGAACAGAGAGGACTTACTGACAATTTGGAAGTGGAGGATCAGGGAAGGTAAGGAGTCATGGGTGACTTCTGGTACTTGGGTTGGATAAACATAGCATTTCTGAATAGGAGATGGGGAGAGAAGGACGGCGAGTTTGGGGGACAATCTAAAGGCTTCATTTTGGGTGTGTTAAGGTCAAGTTGCCTGAGGCCTCCAAATGTAGATGTCAGGTAGGCAGTTGGATATACAAGTGTTGCTGAGGGAAGTCTGGTCTGGAGGTAGACATTTTGAGCCACCAACCAACGATTATATTAAAGGACATGGGTCTGTATGAGGTCATTTTGGGAAAAGTGGGAAACCAAAAGAGGAGAGTCCATGGTTGAGGCTTCTTAACAGCAAATTATCTCCCTCTGTTGTGGGAGCTGGACCCTACCTAAGGGTGGGGTGGGTCCTACCAGGTGGCAAGAGAATGGGCTGTATTCTGTGGTATGTTTTATCCCTGAAATCCTTTTTAATTGTGAAGGTGCACTGATTCCCTCCAGAATAGGGTGGACAAAGTGTTTTTAAAAATTCCAATTTTGAGTTGTCAGGGATAGGAAAATACCAGGAGAAAATAAATGGCAGAGAAGGAGCACCCAAGCACCCAGCCCACCATGCCACGTGGTATTAGGATTGTCTGTCTGTCTGTTCGTATCTTCCACTCTAAGCTCTGTAAGATCATGGACTTTGCCTTAAATGGCTGTTCTATCCCCAGGCTTTGGCACAGTACTTGCATGAAGTAGGTATTAGGTATCGATTAGATGAATCAATGGATGGAAGGATGCCTGGATAATGCAGGGATGGGGAATAGATGTGTGGGTACGTGCAGGATAGGTGGGTGCATGAATTGATGTATTTGCATGCATAGGTGATTTAGGATGCAGGATAGATTGTTGGCTGAATGGTTGGTGTCTGGATGGGGGATGCCTGGAGAATGCAGGGATGGAGAGCTGATGGTTTGGTAGATGCAGGTAGATGGATACATGGCTAGACATATGCACAAATGATTCAGAGATGCAGGAAGGATGGATGGATAGGTGGGTAGAGCAGAGGTGAAGGATGGGTGGATGAAGGATGAATGCAAGATGGATATGTTGCATGCATGCAAAATAGACTGAACAAAGAAAATGTCTGATGCTGAGTGCAGTGTATTGGACAGCTTGCTGTTGGTCTCACCTCTGGATTCCCACTTCTAGTGGGTAGATTCTAGTCCTGCTCCAGAGGGTTGGTTTAGTCCAAATCAGTTATGGCTGATTTTCCCACTTCAATCGATGCACAGGACTCCTTAGTACCTTCAAGAGGTTCAGACCTTTCCCAGGGAAATGAAAGGAGTGCTGGCTGATAATGTGAACCCCAGACCCTACCTCAAGAGCCCTGAAGCAGGAGGAAGAGGAGGGCTGTGTTCTTTCTGCCCACAGCACTGCTCTGGGTCAGGGTCTGGATCCAAGAGGTCTGGCCTGTCCAGTTGCTGCAGCCTTCATATACCTCAGCAGGGAAGGCGAAGGCAATGTCAAATAATGAACAAGGGACTCTGGAATACTTCCCAGATGTTCCCAATAGTTTATTTCTTTATTGTGTAAGAGTCTCATCATCCCCAACAGTTTAATTTTTTTAATAGACCTTATTCTGCATTTGGATATTATTGAGCAATTACTTAATGTTATACTATATCATGGGAATTTGGAGGACAAGGCCTTGAAAATTTTGACAATGCTGTGAATATCTAGACTTTTATTTCCTTCATTGTCCCAGAGCCATGAGAAGCCTGATGAAATAAATCTTCTCTTGCCTCCTAACTTTGGATGATTTCTCCTTAGATCCTGCAAGGCCTTGTTGATGTCCGCATCCCTCATAACAGCTTCTACCGAAAGCGTGAGTAGCCCTGCCTTAATGTGTGAGCTGTGAAAAGAGAGGCTTTCAGGGTGGTTGGCTTTTAATTCCTACATTCTGAGTCTGTTTTCTTGAGCCCCTGAAGAGAGGAAGTGGTGACTTGAACTCGACTGTCCAGTACTGTACAGTGGTGCCCATGGGCACAGCCCAGCATTTGCTCACTTTGTTTTCCTTTTCTAAAAAAGTGTTTTTGGAAATCATCAATGAGAAGTCGAGATACTCCCTCCATCAGAACATGGACAAGATCAAGGTCCCAACGCAGATCATTTGGGGGAAACAAGACCAGGTATGTAGTGTGTCCCTGGGGACGCCTGTGCCAGTTATCCCAGCATTGGAGGACAAGCAGATGGCTTTGTCTAAAGTCAGCCTGGCTGCCTGGTTTCTGATATCAGGAAGAGGTGGGATACACGCAGGTCAGATGCCAGTTTACGGCAGCATCGTTCTGTGAGTTGAGAGCAACAACATTGGTCTTTTAGAATGAAAGGCAATTATAAATCACTTTTACAAGGTATTTTTATCAAAGCCATATAGTCACATGGTATAAAGAGCTTCAGAGAATACAAAAAGGTTTAAAATGAAAATCCCAGATCCTAATTTCCATTTCCTCGAGGCAACATTTACTGTCCTGCATATACAAGTTTTTTGAATTTTCTAAAGCAGGGGTTGACAGATGTTTTCTGCAAAGGGCCAGATAATAAAATTTTTGACTGTATGGGCTATATAATCTGTCACAACTACCAACTCTGTGGTAGTGGGGTCAGCACAGCCATTGATGACATGCAAACCAGTGGCATGGTGGAGTGCCAGTGAACTCGTTATTAACAAAACCAGCAGCTGGTGCATGCCTACTCTTGTTCTCTGAATGCACACATATGCATAGAGAAGGTCTCTCTAAGTTTTTCATGCATGCTGTATACATATTTAACTTTTTCAGTCATGCTATATACACTGTTTTGCACCTTCATATTTGTAAGAAATATGTATCTTGGAAACCATTTCATATCAGCCCATACAGATCTACTCATTCTATTTAAAAAATATTTTGAAATAATTTCTAATTTACAGAAAAATTATAAGAACAGTACAGAGTACTCCTGTATATGCTTCACCTAAATTCGCCCACTTATAACTGCCTCATTTAGGTGGAATTTATTTGCCACAAATTTCACCTAGTTTTGTGCCCACCACAATCCAGTTGTAGGACACTCTGTCACTCCCAAAAGCTCCCCCGATCATCTGCCGTCATCTCTGCTCTCACCCAACCTCCCGCAACTACCGATCTGTTTTCTATTTTAATACTTTTGCCTTTTCTAGAATTTTCCTATAAATAGTATCATATAGCATGTAATCTTTTGCATCTGGCTTTTTCTACTCAAGCATGGTTTTGAGGTTCACCTGTGTTGTTGCATATATCAATAGTTCATTTTTATTGCTGAATGTCATTCCATTGAATCTATTACCCCATCTTATTTATTACTAGTGTTAACATTTGCCACACTGCCTTGTCATTCTCATCTATCCAGAAGTATATATTTTTGGGCCATTTGGAGTAGGTTGCTTACACTACGCCTCTTTACCCCCAATACTTAAGGGTGTATTTACTGAGAACAAGAATATTCTCTTACTTAACCACAGTACATTATCACATTCAGGAAATTTAACATTGGTGAGGTAGTTTTATCTAATCTACGATCCGTATTTCAAATTCATCAGTTGTTTCAGTAATATCCTACACGGAATCCTCCTCCTCCTGGCCCCTGAATCAGGAATTAATCCAGGGTCACACACCACATCTCATGCCTCTTTCGTCTCCTTTAATATGAAATGATTCCTTAGTCTGCCTTTGTCATTCATGACGCTGCGATAGTTAAGATTAAAAGCCAGTTATTGTATGAAATGTTCCTTGATTTGAGTTTGATTGCTCCTACCTCCTGATAAAAGTCAGGATATATTCCCTGGCTAAAATATCTTGTGAGTTATAAATGTTACGTCCTCAGACACACAACAGGGTGTTGTCTGATTTCTTCATTGTAGATTGACTATTTCTCCCCTTGCAATCAATAAGCAGTCTGCGGGAAGACACTTTGAGACCGTGCAGATAAATTGCTCCTTATCAAACATTCCCTCTCGGTTTACCATCCGTGAGTCATTCTTGCCCAAAACAGTGTTTTATGTTCTTTTTAAGAGCTGCATAGTATCCCATTGCGTGGTTCTGCTGTAATGTTTTTAATTAGTGCCCTCTGACAGTCATTTAGGTCATTTCCAGCTTTTTGCTATTAAACCATAGCTCAGTGAGCACCACTATACATGTGTTTGCGGAACGTGAGAGTGTACCTGAAGGGTAAATTCTTAGACGTAGAGTCACTCGGTCAAAGAGCATGTGTCTTTTTAAATTTTAATAGGTTTTGTCAGATGGCTTTATGTTTGTTTGCTAGGGCTGCATAACAAAGTACCATAAACTAGGTGGCTTAAACAACAGAAATTGGTTGTCTCACAGTTCTGGCGGCTAGAAGTCTGGAATGAAGGAATCAGCAGGTTGGCTCCTTCTGGGAGCTGTGACGGGGAGTCTGTCCCATGCCTCTCCCTACCTTTTGATGGTTTTCTGGCAATCTTTGTTCCTTGGCTTACAAATACCTTACCCTGAAGGCCATGCCTTCATCTTCACATGGCATTTCCCCTGTTCTTGCTTGTCTCTGTGTTTAAATTTCCCCTTTTTGTAAGGATGCCAGTTTTATTGGATTACGGGTCCACCCTGTTCTAAATGACCTCATCTTAACTAATTGCATCTGCAATGATCCCATTTCCAAATAAAGTCACATTTGGAAGTACTGGTAGTTAGAACAGCAACATATGAATTTGGGGCAGACACAGTCAATCCATAATAAACCCTACGAAGGAATACTGATTTATATCTAGAAGCTCTGTTTTTGTTTTTTTTAAAAAATTATTGGTTAATTTTAGAGAGAGTGAAATATTGATTTGTTATTCCATTTATTTATGTATTTATTGGTTGCTTCTCGTATGTGCCCTAACCAGGGACTGAACCCACAACCTTGGCATACCAGGATGACACTCTAACCAAATTAGCTACCTGGCCAGGGCCAGAAGCTCCTTTTTTGGTTTGTTTATAAAGTTATTCTAAAGTTTAACACAAGAGGAGACAGTGAGAAATGGCCCACAGGCAGACAGAATTATAGTGTCTGTTAAAGAATATCCTGGATATTCTGTTGACTGCTGTTGAATATTCCTAGGAAAGGACATTATAGAAAATCTGTCCCCTTTGAAACAGTTCCTCTAAGGACCCCAAAGTGAAAGCCACCATTGTGAGTCCAGCCAGGGCGGTAGCACAGCCCAGCTGTGTAAGCTGGTGAAAGCACAGGCAAGGCGGCAGGCTGGAGCCACCAAAGCTTGCAACTGTAGGGGACAGCCCAGGAGAGGGGCCCAGGAGAGGAGACCAGGAGGAGAAGCCAGGCCCACGCCCACAGTGCGTGAGGGAGCGGGAGTGGTGATGGCATCAGCAGAGTCCCAGATCTATCCCAGATCAGCCAGGCGTGGCCCAGGATGCGCAGTGCAGAACGAGGGTGCGGGGAGGGGGACGCTCACGTGCTCCTTGCTGCAGCAGCCAACATGCTCAAAGCAGCTTTGTGTAAGCGCTTGAGAAGCGGGATGCAGGCTAGGCCAGCGGGGAGTCATTTAATCAGAGGCAAAACAGTGAAGGCCTTTCTTCATTATAAAAATCCCGAAGGTAATTTCGGGTTCTCAGGGACCAGCAAGGAGAGAGAGGCGAGAACCCATCACCCTGCAGAGACACTGCAGAAACTAGATCACTGGCCTCGGAGTCTGAAAGTCTGGCGTCCAGCCCTGCCTTTGCCCTTTATCAGCCTGTGACCTTGAACAAGTCACTCAGCTGCTCTACATCACAGGTTTCTCTTTTACTGCTGGGGTGATTGTGAGGTTTAAGTGGGATAACATACAGGATGGGGCAAAAGTAGGTTTACAGTTGATTGCGTGGAAAATAATACAATAATTGATAAATAATAATGCAAGAATAAACTGTTTCATGTATTCATAACTATAAACCTACTTTTGCCATAATCTGTATATGAAGGTGATCTTTCTCCAGTTATCAAAAATAAAAAGAAGTTACTTATTATTTACGTCTTTTGCCTCTGATAGCTGGCTTCTGCCTAAGGTCCAGAATTGCCTCCAGGACTCATAAGTCCATTTAGTTCTGGAAAAAGAGTGTAACATTCCATGGACCTGCTACAAATATGGTCAGATCCTTATGTGTTCTAGGGACCTTCCTGAGGGCAGAGGCCAAAGAGCAGAGGCTTCAGGGCCCTTTATTTCATGGCCTTTTGCTTCCCAACCTGTCTGGCTTTTCCCTACTCTGTCATCAACACTTGGTGTCACAGGCCCACCCCCAGCCAGGATGAATTCAGACTCCCTCTTCTTTGGACCCCTGTAGGCCAGCCGCTGTACTGCACAACTGTGAGGTAGCTGTGTGCATTGTTGTCTTTGTGAACGATGCCCCCTGGATTACGCAACACACAACCACACAGCTGAACCTGGCAGACCTCCCCTAGAGGATTTCTGCACACCCTTCAACTATTTCTCCTCTGTGTTCAGTCCACCAGAGGGGGATAACCTTGGGGAGATAAACAAGGTGTATTTCTCTTTATGTCCCCTCTCCCTGCCAGCATGGTGCCTGCTATAATATACCCAGAGTACACAGAGAATGAGTGGGCAAGAAAGTGAATGAACAAACTAGCAAGGACAAACCTGCCAGCTAACTGCCTATACATCTAAGTCAACTAACAGATATTTACTGAGCACCTAGTGTATGCCTGACACTGTATTAGACCTAGGGAGTCAGTAAGGACCAGGATAGTAAGGATCTGCCTCCAGCATCTTACAGTACACCTGCCACTATGACACACGGCAGGGCTGGAACTTGGAGGAAGTGTGTCGTGTAATGCAGGGTCATATCCTGTCTTTACTTATAATTTTTATATTTTGTTTATCACGGATCTTTTTGCATTAACTTTTTTTTTTTACATACTGCATTAAAATAGTCTTCATCTTGATTACTGAGCCTTTTGGCACCTGCTTAAATTTTGTGCCAGAGGCAAGTGCCTCACTTCCCTCACCCTAGTGGGAATGAAGGAAGATCCACCATTTATCTGAATGTCCTGACAATAAATAGCTGGTATGGTTCCCACAGATGTGTGTACATATCTCATAAGGACCCATCCAGCTGTTTCACATGGGTAACCATGGGAATTCTGGATTTGACAGCATAACAGTATCAGAGCTAGAGGCTCAGGTGGGTATTTCTGCCTGTGAGTTATGGTTTCTGATCTCTATGGGATAGACATTCCATTGGGAGTTTCTACTTTTTCATGCTTTGACCTGTTGACTCCACCTGCATTTCCTCTGGGTCTGTTTCCATAGTAACTGGGCTTGACTTCTGCTCAGCCAGTTGCCATAGCAGCTTTACCTGTGAGTGAGTGACAGACAGACGGGTTTGATTTCTCACAGGGCGCTCCCCTCTCGCCAAGCTCCCTGTTAGCTGTTTCTTTTTGTGGCCCAGGGGTGCTCTGCGTTGTACTCATCCCTTTTCCAAATGGGTGGGAAACCTTGATTTTAATGATGTGGGATGATGAGGATGAAGTTCAAAATCAGACTGCACTCAAGTTTGTTGGGGTTTTGGTTTTGCTTTTGCTGTTAGGAATGAGAAGGGGCCTTCTTGTCTGGGATGAGTTGAAAGTGAAAGCGATTAAGAGAAAGGGTGTGAATGCAAATCCAATGCCAAGCAAGGGTGTTGCGGAGAAAAAGTAAGTTGGACTGGCATAACAGCAAGGTAACCCAGATGAAAATGAAAGGAAATGAGTTGCTTGAAAAGTGTTATCCCTGGAAAACGGTGGCTTTCGCATTGGAAAAGCATTCCTTGTTATTCACAAACCTCAGGGCCTGGGGCCACACAGCTCTGGAGACCCCAGAGGACCTTCGAAGAGAACTTTCCAGCTTGTGATCATTAGTAATTAGTGTTCACCTCTAATATCTTCCCTGTGTCCTTCCCACAATTGGCCCACCCCAGTCCAGCCATCGAGTGCATTCTCTTGGCCCGGCCTGATCATGTCACTGTCCTTCACACAGCCCCGTGGTTCCCCTGTGCCCTCGGATGAAGGCCCAACACCCAACATGGTTGGAGGAGTGGGCCCCCTCCTCCCCGTCCATCTCCTCCCGTGCCCTCCCACGCCCTGTGTGTGGTATCTCAGCCCCTAGATACTTGCTGTCCCTTGTGCTTGCCATGGCCTCCCACTTTCTTCCATCAATTCCACTCCCCTGTGCTCCTTCAGCTTCCAGAACCCTCCCCCAACAGAACCCTTATGCCATCACACTGCATTTGTCTGCTGACCCCTCTGCCTTCCCTACCAGACCAGAACCTCCTCACGGGCAAGGCCTGTATGTTTCCCCCTCAGTTATGCAGGCTGCGTCACAGCTCCTGATACCAAGTTTCAGAATGAAATATGAGACATGCAGTCACTTCTGTCAGAGAGCCACAAGCTCGCTGAAATGACTTGGTTCTGAAAACCACCCCTGCCAGGTCTCAGTACGAGTTCTGTCCGCTGAGTGCACCCAAGTGTCTGAATCTTTTCCATGTAGTTTCCTCTCTTGTCCTGCAGGTGCTCAATGTGTCCGGGGCAGACACGTTGGCCAAGTCAATTGCCAACTGCCAAGTGGAACTTTTGGAAAACTGTGGGCACTCAGTTGTGATGGAGAGGCCCAGGAAGACAGCCAAGCTCATCATCGACTTTTTAGCTTCTGTGCACAATACAGAAAACAACAAGAAGCTGGACTGAGGCCTGGGCTGCAGCCTGCAATCCGCCACACATCCACACCCATCTCCAAAATCTGACGCAGCCACACTTCTCAGGGATCCTGACCCAAAAGTGTTCAGAGCGCCGGCACCCCTGAGGAAGCCAGTCCCCTGTCGCCAGTCAGATCCACAGAGCTTTGGGGGCCACAAAAAATCTCCAAGATGTTTTTCACAAAATAGAGACTCATATGGGACAAAATAAGAAAACCCAGCCTTTAGATCTACCGAGAAGTCTTCAAGTTCATGTTGCAAAGCAGCCACCTTAAACCATAATCACCCAAGACATCAATTTCTTTAAAACATTTCTTACAGTCTGAGACTTAGGTATTTCTGTTGCTTCAGATATTCTCCCCCTGCATGATCAGTGGCTGTTGTAGGAACACTAGTCCCCATTCGCCGAGTCCCTCTTGTTTGAGTTTTACATGGAGACCCAGTCCATCAGCTGCAAGACCAGGTTGGAAAATGGCAAGCTACAGAAAATATTTACACATGCAGGGGGGCCTTGTCCCACCTCAGCCAGCCCTGAGAGCAGCAGTGGACATACCGGCGCTTGGGGGGTTTGATCAGCGCACGTGTCACATATACCGTGAGTGAACTCAGACCCTCACAGTATGAAGAATTCCTGGCAGGGTGGGTTTCCTGGGAATAGTTTATTTTTACAAATAGAACTAATGAAGCAATAATGTTCTAGGTATCTATCTAGATAATCAGACTTGAGTTCTAAATAATCAGACACGCGAGCACCTTGTGGGCCTCTTTTCTATGCTGCTGTGCTACTGAAAACCCTTGGACGTAAAATACTAGTTTCTTAATGAATTCTGTGAATTCTGTGAACAGTAATGTGATTGAAAATAAGTCTAAACAACTGTAAATGACCACAGTGATATGAAGTAAATGTTCTAAGTCCAGATCAACAACATGCAGGCAGTTGCTATTTCTAAGCTCTTAATTTTGTGCAATGTTGGCAGGTTTTCTGTTAACTGTGTTAAGTGTGTTTTAAACTGTTTATTCTATAGGCATTGGAAGATCTTGCTTGGATGACTTATTAGTTTCATTTTAAGAAATCATGTTTACAATTTTTATTCAATTGAAATGGTATATCAAAACAAAGGCAAGTCACCAAAATATTCCTTTGGGCCCTCTTCTGTTGCATTTAGGAACCCTAAAATCCCCAGGAGCTTGAATCCTTCAAATCATTTTACAGAGAATCTACAGCTAAGTAATTCTGGAAATAAAGTGAGATGAACTTAAGTTTACATTGGAATTCAGGACTTGGTCTGAATATTTTCATTTATCAGAAAAGAGTGAGGCCCTGGCTGGGTAGCTCAGTTGGTTAGAGCGTTGTCTGACACGTCAGGGTTGTGGGTTCAGTTCTCTGTCAGGGCTCATATTTATACAAGAATCAAACAATGAATGTATAAATAAGTGGAACAACAAATCGATGTTTCTTTCTCTCTCCCACCATCCCCTTTCTCTCTCTCTCTCAAAATAATCTTTAAAAAAAAATGAAACAGATCTTACAAACAAGATATGAAAATACAATATATCAAATCTGAGGGATGCAGCTATGGCAGTGTGCAAAGGGGATTTTACAGGCCTCTATTTATATATTAGAAAAGATGAAAGGCTGAAAATCGGTAATTTAAGCTTCCATTTTAAGAAGCTAGAAAAGAAATAGTAAATCAAAACCTAAAAAAATAGATGGAAATAATACAGGTGAGAGAGAAAATCAGTGAACTAGAAAAGAAAGTAGATAGACATGCTACTTGTTCCAATCGCCCACCTTCGCCAAAAGTTCTGAGCAGAGTGAGGTTCCAGGAGAGGGGGTCAGTCCTGGTGGGTCTGGGTGGCGAGAGATGGTTCCCTCAGGGTCACTGAAGAGGCCCAGACCTGGGTCAGAACCTCCAATCGGAAGCCCTGCTAGGTGGGAATAGTCAAGGGCTCAAATAGAAGACAGACTTACACACAAGGACACCCCCTTCAAATTGATGTGTTTCTTGTGTCAGTCACTCCTGGTGTCACCTCTGCCCTGGGAAAGAAGCCAAGAATAATGGCAAATTGAATCCCAACCACTGCCTGCCCCTCAGCCTCTTCAACACCTGCCCAGAGGATCCATCCTCAGCTCCTGTAAGGCTGACTCCAGGCAGGGGGAGCAGAAGCCCACTTGGGATTCCTGGGGCTTTCCATTGTTATTTCAGAAGCTGCTGGCGGTCTTTCAGCCAGACCTGTGATGAATGACACCCCTCTCCTTTCTAAGACTGTCATGAAAGGCACTCACTACAGGGCCCGACATGGTGTGGCTTGGGGGGCAGCCAGCTGGCAGTACCAGCAGGCTCTTTATAGTCACAAAGGGGGAAGTGGGGCACAAGGGGGAGCTGTGCTTTTCTGCTTTGGGGTCTTCCTAACACAGTGGGGCCAGAATTGCAGGGCCAAGAGAGAAAACCCACTTCATGGGTTGGTCACAAATGGCTCTTACATGCTCTGCTTGTGACTTCCAGGCAGTGCTTTCTGGTGAAAGAAGAGGAGGCAGGGGCCGTGTCCTGCTGCAGACCCTGTCCTTCCTTGTCCTCTGCGGCTCATTTGCCAGTGATCCTGAGGTGCTGTTCACCCCAGGGAACCTTTCACTTTGTCCACAGGAGACTCCCAGAAAGTACTGGGAAGTTGTAATGTACATCGGGCCAGGCTTGGAGGCACTGGTCTAAGCGTTTTCCATGTATCCATCACCTTACTGAGCTCTCACACAGCCCTAAAGAGGTGCATATACCTATGCCAAGAAAACTGAGAGGTGAAATGTCTTGCCCAGGGTTACACAGGTAACAAGTGGAGTGAAGCCTCTTGGTTTAGGATTGAAGGTGATTTGTAAAAACAGTGCTTTCAATGGGTCACACGGGAGCTCTCTGGCCCAATTTATAGTGGGGTTTTGGTCCCTTTTGGCTCCCCAGGATGAGGCCAGTGTGTGGCAGCTTCAGCCACAGGTCACTGAGGCCACACCTTAAGCCCTTGCTAAGGATAGCGACTCAGTGGTTTATTCAGCAAATAGCTAAGGCCTTCCCATTGCCCAGCCTCCTGCTAGGCAGGAAACAAGCTTAGCTGGATTCCAGAATCATCCTTCTAATGGTGCTACAAGGAACAGCTTGCCCTCCTCAGTCCAGCCTCTATACCAACCAGGACTGGCGTCACACCCTCCCTGGAAGGGTCATTCACCTTGCCAGTACCCTCATTCCTACCCCATTCTCTGGTAATGATAATCAGCATTTGTCCAAACCAGTTTTCTGGAGGGGGAAGTCTCCCCTGCAGTTCTGCCTGTCCTGGGGGTCAGAATTGAAAAGCAGTTGAGATGTGGCCCTGCTTATAGTTGCCTGGGATCAGTGCAGGCAGCTTTGAAGGGGGAGGTCAAGGCACTGCACTTCTTACCAGCCAGGGGCTTTCCCACTGCCTTCAGACAAACTTTAGACTTTAATTAAACATTAATGCCAAATTTAGGCTCTCTTCTGTACTTTCCAAGTCCTGATTATAGATCTCTAGACAATCATAGGTTGGTTAGTTAATTAACATTTTTCTAAAATGGTGGATATACTTCTGGTCAAGATGGAGGCATAGATAAACACAGCTCACCTCACACAACCACAGCAAAAATAACAACTAAACTACAAAACAACTATTACCCAGAATTGTCAGAAAATCAAGCTGTGTGGAAGTCTGACAATCAAGGAATTAAAGAAGCCACACTCGTCCAGACAGGTATGAGGGGCAGAGATACAGATACAGGGGATGCAGAACACGCAGTCCCACACCCCCGTGTGGTAGATAAAAAGCAGGAGGGATGCCTTGAAAGCAAGGGATCCCAGCCCCACACCAGACCACCCAGCCCAGGGTTCCAGTGCCAGGAAGATAAGTCCCCATAACTTCTCGCTGTAAAAACTAGTAGGGGTTGGGGCAGTGGAAGAAAGTATGGGATCCTCAGGCATCTCCCTCTTAAAAGACCCACAACGGACTTACTCAGACTTACTCCCTCTGGGCCCCAGCCTTGGGGCAGCAGCTGGCAGGGCACCAGTGGCACACAGGGAGAAACTGAAGGGTCTGGCATCAGGACACGTGTTGAGGGACAACTTCCTCCTAGACAAAACTCCAGAGGGCAGGCAGCGGCATTGTCCCCTTTTTGAGCCCTCTCCATACAGAGCCACTGAGTGGCAACTCCATATTGGAGACTCCATCAACCTGGTTCACATGAGTTCCCCTGTCCTGGCGATCACCTAAGGCTCTGCCCCATCCAACTTATCCATGTGCTTTTCTTCAATAGGCCATCATACTATGACAGAGTCAAAGCAGCTCTACCTAATACATAGAAACAAACACAGGGAGGCTGCCTAACTGAGGAAACAAAGAAATATGGCCCAAATGAACAAACTGAAAAAAAAAAACTCCAGAAAAAAGGACTAAACAAAATGGAGATAAGCAATCCATTAGATGCAGAGTTCAAAACACTGGTTAATAAGGATGTTCGAGGAACTCACTGGGTAATACAACAGCGTAAGAAGGACCTAGGCAGAAATAAAGATTACTTATTACTAACTGAAATAAAGAAAAATTTATAGGGAATCAACAATGGAGTAGATGTAGCTGAGAATCAAATCAATTATTTGGAACATAAGGAAGAAAAAAACATTCAATCAGAACAGCAAGAAGTAAAAAGAATCCAAAAAAACAAGGATAAACTAAGGAGCCTCTGGGACAACTTCAAATGTACCAACACCCAAATCATAGGGATGCCAGAAGGAGAAGAGAAAGAGCAAGAAATTGAAAACTTACTTGAAACAATAATGAAAGAAAAATACCCTAATATGGTGATGGAAATAGACATTCAAGCCCAGGAGGCATGTAGAGTCCCAAACAAGAGGGACACAAAGAAGCCCACACCAACACCCATCATACTTAAAATGCCAAAGTTTAAAGATAAAGAATTTCAAAAGCAGCAAGAGAAAAACAGTTAGTTACCTACAAAGGATTTCACATAAGATTGTCAGCTGATTTCTCAAAAGAAACTTTGCAGTCTAAAAGGGACTGGCAAGAAGTATTCAAAGTAATGAAAAGCAAGGACCTACAGCCCAGATTACTCTATACAGCAAAGCTATCATTTAGAATTAAAGGGCATATAAAGTGCTCCTCAGACAAGGTAAAACTAAGAAATTCCACATCACCAAGCCATTGTTACAGAAAATGTTAAAGGAACTTACTTAAGAAAAATAAGATCAAACCTATGAACATTAAAATGGCAATACATTCACAACTATCAACAATTGAATCTAAAAAACAAACTAAGCAAATAAGCAGAACAGAAACAGAATCATAGATATGAAGATCATTTGGAGGGTTATCAGCTGGGAGGGCGAAGGGGGAGAATGAGGCAAAAGGCGCAGAGAATAAGTAGCACAAATTGGTAGGCACAGAATAGACAGGGGAATGTTAAGAACAGTATAGGAGACGGAGTAGCCAAAGAACTTATAGGCATGACCCATGGACATGAACTAAGGGGAGAATTGCTGGGGAAAGAGGGGTCCCAGGTGGAGTGGGCCAAGGGGGGGGGAATTAGGACCACTGTAATAGCATAATCAATAAAATATATTTTTAAATATAAAATTGAAAAAGAAAGAAAATGATGGATGCAGATTTTAACATCCATAGGTACAAACCTTCTGCTTTGGGGGATTTCCTATACTAGATAGAAAAGTCTTTTATTAAAAAAATAGCAATTCATTGGGTCTGTTTCAGAAATGTTTGCTGAAATACAGTTTGACCAGTTTTTGGGTGCAGTTCTTTTTAACTCTCTTAGTCTATCTCCATGTCTCTCTATCTCCATCTCTCCCTTCTCCCCCACCTCCCCCCATCTCTGTTTCATCACCCATATCTGTCTCATCCATCTATCTGTCTCTATCACTGATGCACACAGGCACACACAAAGACACTGTCCCCTTACAGTGGGAAGTCTGGCTTTTCTGATCCTTTATCTTTTAAAATTTCCAACATCACTCCTTCAACTCTACAGAGTAGTCTTTCTCATCATCCACTTCTCTCTCCCACTCCCACTTTCCCCCAAGTTGGTGGATGTTCACATGACCCCGTCATTCCCTGAGAGGAGGAAAAGAGTAGTCGGGTTTAGGAGGAGTGGGG